CCCAATCCAGGCCCAGTAAGAGAGCGGGATACATACATCTCCTTAAAGGTCCTAAATTGCACAAAATTGACTCTTGTGGGATTTAGGTAGGTTGACCAGATGTCCCTATTTACCCAGGACAGTCCCAGTTTTGAGCAATGTGTCCCCTGTCCCAGCAGGTTTATCCAAAACCAGTGATTTGTCCCAGTTTTATACGAAACATGTCCTATGTGTCCCAATTTTTGACCAATTTGAAATCCGCCAATAGTAAAGAGAGGAATATATTGGCAAATGTTTTTGTCTAAATAGAGAAAACTGTACTTGAAAATTGAAGACTCATGTCATACACCAGGAGCCTCCAGCCATTTTCCTCCTGTGAGCTCCTTTTTGTAAAACGAAAATGCCAGAGAGCTACTAATTTAATCAATATAAGAGCCACGGTAAGCCAAAGATGACAGTTAGATGTCTATAAAACATAACCAGTTATCCAGTTATCAGTGCATAAAATGAGGCATCAAAATTATACATTTACGAAGGGAAGAGGCATTTAATCAATCAACTTTGAGTTATTCAGCGAAATATGTATAATTCAGACATTCAGACACATCAGTGAGCTACTTGAAAGAGGGTGGAGAGCTACAGGTTGGAGATCCCTGTCATACACTGATTCACAAGTGAGTGGAGAATGAGCTGAGTGCCCAATAATGTTCTTAATTACACCCAATTTTATTATTATTAATACCAACCACTCCCAAACCAGGTGTCTCCCAGTTTTTAATTTTGAAAAACTGGTCACCCTAGATTTAGACGATGTTATAATGTTTCTACATTCGCAAAAAACATACCTGAGAGGTGTTTTGTTTCATTCACACATGTTTGAGTAACTTTTTATCATTAGTCTGTCTACATCTCCACAACTCAAAATGCTCTGTTCCACCTTGTGATGTCATGTTGTGGTAGTTTTAGTTAACAGCTACTTCTTACTTTTTGTTTGACAGAGATTAGCAATTCCAGGGCCAAAATCATTCTAATTTTGATTCTAGTGAAGGGCTACACTTCCTGTATTAAAATGTGGTGGATACCTCTGCCACCACTCCACAGTGTCAGTATTATTTCATTTCATTTTATTTTTATTTAGTTAAAGGTTGTATAGAGGATTTTCCAAGGAACGAGAAATCCAGCGACTGTTTGTCCTTTTTCAAATGTTGCGCATGCGTGAAACCACCCCCCCTCCCCTACAGCTCTTACGTACAAACGCCTCCTCCCGCCTCCTCCTTATGCCAGAAACAGGTTTGTTTACAGCCGGTGAGCTGCACATGACTTGTAAACAACTAACTACAGTGTTGGTTAGGCAAGACGGAGAAGTGAGGAGCGGGGGAGCGGGTGTGCGGACATTTCGTTCGCGGACGAGAAGTGAGGAGCAGGGAGAAGAGCGGAGCAGGGAGAGAGGGAGAGGAGAGAGGAGAGAGGAGAGGGGAGCGGTGCGCGGAGATTCCGTGCCCGGAGAAGTGAGGACCAGGGGGAAGAGTGGATCGGGCAGCGGGGACAGGAGCAGGAAAGTGGTGCAGAGAAGGTTGCGCGGAGATTCCGTGCGAATGAACTAGCTACAACACGCAGCAGCAAGCGGACTCTTTCTTTGCCTTGAAAATTACGTTTTCAGACATAGGATATCGCTTTCGTGTCCTGAAAAACGTTTGACTAGCTCTTGGAAATAAAGTACGTTTTCATAATAAGCAGAAGTGACCTGTCCAGGAGTAATTTGGCGACCAGTGCATCAGTCTTTAGACCCTGCGTCTGCTTCAGTCGCGCCATCGCTGGAATGAATCTATAAGAATCACCTTAGTTTGGCTTCGCTGCTTTTCCCCTTGTCTTCTTCTTTCAGCGACCTCAAAAACGGACTCTCTTTTGCGGCTAACTGCTGCTGGATTCTTGTCGCCATTGCAACAAACTTTGTGTGAACTGCGAGGAAGATATAGGTAAAAAAAAGCCGCTAAGAACTGTTGCGTTGGTGGAGTAAACAGCGTCTGTGCGGCTTGCGTCTGTGGACTGCGTGACAGACTACGTAAACCACGTACCGGCGGCACGCAGGCAAGTCAGTTACGCTAGAAACGTAGGGAGATTGATTGACAGCCTGTCAGCTAACAGATAATGAGGCAGTGTCGTTATCTATTGGCAAATGTTTAGCCCCACCACGTCCAGAGTTGATGAATTTTTATTCTCTTTTTTTTGGTCATCATAATTACAAGGCTACTGCACCTCTATAATCTATCATTGACAACTTGAAACAAAAAAAAATCCTCCATACAACCTTTAATTACAACACACAATTTAATTCCTTTATTTAGACTTATATTCTAATTGGATGCACACGTTTTAGTTAATATAAGTCTGAATTATTTACTTACACTTGTTCTTTTTGGGGTTTTTTGAGTGCCGGACAGAGGATCCTCGGGAGAGACCATCAATGAATCAACAAAGGGGAGGAGCACTATTTAGGTTGTTTTACTAAGGTCGTTTGTCTAGCTGCTTTAAGGTCACTTTATTATCACTTTTTATTTTCTGTATTATACTTATTTACCTTCTTGTTACTTTGATTAAGCTAGTATTTTTAGTTAAATATTTAGTGTAATTGCCCCCTCTTGTGTTCAGTTTTAGTTGGCCCTCATGTATTCAAACACCCCTGTTCTTTGCCTGGTTGGTTTACTTTTGTTCTATTCAGTTTCATTTCCTAGCTTTTTTTGGTCATGATTTACCTAATTTGTGCCTTTATTTTATTAAATGTAATCTTCTTTTTATACCACACCACCCGTTTAGTCCACTACATACAACGTGACATCACAAGGTGGACCAGAACTTAGTCTAAATATAGAAAAAAATGTAGAGTTTAATGTTTGTCTTTATAACACACATTATAACATAGATCAGAAAATAGTGTAATATTTTTGGGCCCGTTAAAGCAACTCTAGAACTTTATAAGGTTTTTGCAGTGTATTCATGACACAAGAAGTGTTTTATGTTTTTCCCTTCTGTTGTGAATGAGAATTGAAGTGGAGAGGCTGGTCTGCTGATAAACTGCAGTTTGCTTGAGTGAATGAGTGAGTGAGAGAAAGAGAGGAAGAGAGAGAGTGAGTTATGGATGCCACATTGTGATTTGCTGAGGTGCACAGGCCATCATTCACCCACTCTGACCTGCTCACATGTGTGCGCGCAAACAGAAGAAAGAAACAAGACCACACAGCAAATGTAACGTACAGGTCAAAATCAACACAGAGTTTCAACACTGACCCTGGTAACCTTGACAGTCGCTCAGGGGTGAGAAGAATGGTCAAAAAGTTGGTGTTGCATACTGAGAAGATTTTAAAATACAGAGTAAAAGTTAAATATCCCTTAGAGGAAGTATTGTATTTTCCTACAATAAGCCAGGGATGCAGTATCTTTTGTTACATCTGTTGAAAATAACTGCAAATACTCGAAAAAGCAGTGACATGTTTTGCCCAAGGAAACCCAGCCAGAGGGAGTAGTAGAGCAGGAATCGGTCCATCAACTCTCTGATTAGTGAGTGACTTAATCTAGCCCAAGTGACAGTATCCCGTTCATTGATCAAAGCAGAGTGTTCAGTACTATTTATAATACACAGATCTGATTGATACTGTGCAGTGACATCGCGCTGGGGGTTTTCTACGTGCGTCTTTATTGGCAGAATATTCAGAAGTTACCACAGACACACAATGAACACCTTAGCAAACACACACAAAAATGCTGTAAGATTGTCTGAAAACTCAAGAAAAAATACATAATTGATTTAAAAAAACACATCTCCAGGAGCCTGGGATCAATGTGAGTTCATGGTCCCGTTTAGTTGTTAGATTTTCAACAAAAAAGTGACTAAAAAACTGTTGGCTTGTGACTGTAGTGTTATTTGAGAGGGAATTGTTTAACAGCACAAATCAGCTCACCTGTCAGATTGTGTTCAAATAAAGCTCACATTAAAGTCTAACACGCTTCAGACCACAGTTGAGGATGTGCAAGTCGTGACTTGGACTTGGGCCAGACTTGAGTCACTGCTTTTAGGACTTGAGACTTGACTTGATAAAATAGACAAAGACTTGGGACTCGACTTGGACTTGAAGGTCAGTGACTTGGGACTTAACTCGTACTTGAGGCCTGTGACTTGAAAAGACTTGAAGCTTAGATTAGTTGACAAATGAACTGTTATTAGGCACTCTTAAATCTGAACTCTTTCTGTTCTGACCGTAATAATTTGCATTCTTGTCAAAACATTTAAAAAGGAAAACAACTACAACTCATATATAAATACTCATATATAAATACACCATGACCTTTTAAGTACAATTTAGTTTAAAATTCATATAAATTGCAAAAATCTAAGCTATATTTGGTACTTGGTTTAAAGACTTGAAATGACTTGAAGCTCAAAGCAGACGACTTGGACTTGACTTGGACTTATAGGTCAGTGACTCAAGACTCGACTTGGACTTGCCTGTATTTGACATGGGACTTGACTCGGACTTGAGGTCAAAGACTTGAGACTTACTTGAGACTTGCAAAACACCGACTTGGTCCCACCTCTGCCTCAGCCAGAGCAGTGCGTACAGTTATCATCACACCCTCAGGGAATTTTGATAACATCAGCTGCAAAGTATGAATAGTTCCTGTGCTGTACCATATGTAACTCAAGGTCCCTCCTCAGTGCAGAGCAATGAAGGTCTGAGGGCTGGAATATACAGAGAATAATTTCTTTTCAATGCTTTGTGCTGTGCTTTCTGTAAAGTTATAAAAGTTATATGAGAGGGAACTCAAAATAATAAACGATGACTCAGACTCTACTCAGAGATGTTTGGTGAATCTGGCAACAATAAAGAGCAACAATATTGATTCAGTACAAATTATTTACAATCTCAGTATCTGGTGAAGAGCTTACAAAGAGCCTGTGAAATATGTTTTTTCAATACCGTTTGCTTTGTATCAATGATTAAAATCCACACGCTGTTTTGTTTGATTTTGACATAAATTTATTGAATGTAGTGCTGCATAAAAGCAAAGAATAAAAAGACAAATATGAACAATAATATCAAACACAATCTATACACCAGCCTTGGACACTGCTTCACAGGTTTTTGGCAGTGGAATAAATGAAGGTGGAACTGTTGGCTCAGGGCTCTGCTCTGTCACACAAACACAATGCTCAAAGAGTTCAAAGTTTACAAAACATTGAAGTTCCTCCCCAATATTGTCATGCAATATACAGTTTGACACAGACAGGGCTGTCCGGTGTGGTGGCAGTGAGAGGGTCCAGCTCAGCTCCCCTGACTCCTTCTCTCCTCTCTGCTGAGTGTCAGGAGAGGTGAGGGCGCCCCCAGCTGGAATCCATGATTATAGTGTTGCTTCACTTTGAGCCCGCTTGGATCAAACGTCCTACCTAGGTGTTACATCACATTTTACTAAATAAACTCAACGCAACTCAAGCAAATGCATGAAGTGAATCCATTTGAGTGACCTGTCTGTTTAACTATAATACACACAAAGCCACAGTCATTTCTCTATAGTTATATAGATATACAGTGTTTATCTTTACACTGGACTGGACAATCTGGTATGAAATGCTACAGACTGCAATGCGCAGGACAAATCTAGCATTTCTACATCTACCACATTGCCAACACACAGGCTATTGACATAATCTGCTTGGTGCAGTTGCCTGGCAACACAAGCAGCACATATCTTTGAGAATTTCAAAGCAAAAAAAGTTACAAAGCTATGCAAAATAGTATAAAATAATAAATAGAAAAATTTAAAATAAACACAAATCAAACACTTTCCTCTGCCCATAGATTTGTTGTTCTAATGAGCACAGAACAGTTAGTGCGTTTCACCAAACATTTACACATAAATAATCTTTAGAGTGGCTCTTACAGATCGACATTATTCTATGCATCTTCTGAAATCTCTGACAGATAGAACATAGTGGTTCACAAAGGGCAACAGAAAGAAATGTGCAACAGGTCAATTCAGTCAATAATCCCCACTGTGTGATTCAGCCTAACTCACGGGTTTAAAATGAATGTAAAAAGGCCCTTTGCCCACGAGGCCGTCCAGACACAGCAGGAGAGAGCAGACATATTTACAATGGCACTGGACCCTCTCAGTCTAATCCTGTCTGCTCGAGGCTGTGGGGCTGTGAGGGGCCAGACACAGGGCGACTGAGGCAGTGAGGCTCAGGACAGTCAGGGGCTGCCAAGGCGGATGTGTTGTGAAGGCAGGTGGACGCGCTCGCAAAGGACACTCACTTGTGTGTCTTTGCCTTTTGTCTGTATGCGGGCTGCCAACCAACTCATCAGCAACAGAGTCTGTGGGCCTAGAGCGTCACTATGGCAACCGGCATCAGCGGGCCAGAATCAGTGCAAAGACTTTTTGGCATCCACTCAGTGCCCGAGTCAAGTTTCTTCTCAATAGTGTCCATCCTGGATCGGTGACGCCATGTGAACACTTCTAATTCTTTTTTTTTTTTGGAAAAATAGACAAATATACGGTCGTAAAACCCAAAATACAGCTATGACATTCACTGAAATCATAAAAAACAAGGCGGATAATATTCTCCTTCAAATCTATATCGCGTTCATGCTAGCACTCTCAACTCCATTCACACAGATAGTCAACATAAAATAGGTAGCCACCATTCTGTAGTCCTATTTGAACACAGCAGTGAAGGACGGTTAGAGGAGTCCAGATTGTCTCCTGGTTTTATCTAAAAGATCCTCAAAGTGGACTATAACAAAAACTCTTCATCAGCTTTAATCCACTGACCCCGGGTGGAGGCTGAGAGCGGGCGGGTCCAGGCAGGTGGGGGAGTAGCTTAGGTGCGGTTCTTTAATCCACAGCAGCGGGGCGCCGTTCTTGCCCTCCTGGCTCTTGTTGTTGTTGCGGGACTTGAACCGCACCAGCAGCAAAGCGATGAGGAGGATGCCGAAGATGGGGAAAGGGTAGAAGAAGACGAAGTAGAACAGAGACTCGTTGGAGCAGACCACGGAATGGACGGACGAAGCACCTGAGACGAGACACAGTTTCAAAGAGTAATCAGGGATGGATGTAGTACTCAGTTTTGTTACATAAGTAAAAGTACAGATACAGGGGCAAAAGATTACTCTAGTAAAAGTATCATATGAAAAAAATCTACTTAAAGGTGCAACTTTTCTGGTGGGTAAGCCTTACAGTTCAGATCTGTGAAGAGGCGACCCCACTCACAGTCAAGAGTGCCTGTTTTTCAAGGTATTTTTGAGCTATAAAGCCACATGTAATTTACTCAATTTAAGGTAGAGCTGTTTAATGTCATACTGTGGAACATTCCAGGCAGAGCAATGACATGTCCATACAAAAGAGCCCCAACCAAAAAGTTACACAATGCACCTTTAAGTACAAATGTATTTTAAGAATAAGAAAGTAAAGATATTTTGCCAAGATTTTCAGAATAACTAAAGCATCAAATGTAGTGATTTTAATAAAGAATTTAGCTCATTTTAAGTTATTAAACTGATTTCTTAATTTTTGTGTATTTGGTTTGCTCAAAATTTGGACGTTAACTCAAATTGAATGTGTTTTAAAAATCATTTCAGCAAGTCTCGACACAAAGAAAAGTACTTTTTACTTTCCAGTCCAGATCTAAATTGTGGTGGTGTAAAAAGTACAGATACCTGCTCTAAAATGTAGTGAAGTAAAAGTACAAAGTATCCACTGTAAAACTGACTAAAGTAGAGAACAGTTACCTAAAAATTTTACTCAAGTATTGTATTTTTACTTTTCTACTTTATTACGTTCCATCACTGGAGTTAATCAAAAGCAAAGTAAACAAAGTAAAATATTGAATTTTTCTGACATATATTTATTGTATTGTTTAGATTTATGATATGATACTTTGTTGTTAATAACGGACACTCTTTTGGTAATTGCACCTACTCAAATTGCAATATTTGACAGCAATATATTGTGAAACCCTATAAAAAAACTACATATAGACTCTATCAAATTGTATTGTGTAACATTATATAGTATTTTAATTATGTTATTTTAATGTTCAAATTGGGTCGCAGTCTTCCCTCCATCACCTTAATTAGAAACTTGGGAGACAGTTGAATGGTCTTTTTGGATTTTCTGCCCAAACCTGAAGGAATTTTGAATTAAACCAAAGGACAAATTCCTTCGACCTCAAGGAAACGTCACTAAAATGAATTAAACTCAAATGTGCTGATTTATAAAACGTTCTTAATGAAAAATAACACACTTTGAAATTATTTGTGGTAAAAAAAAATAATTGAAAATCTCAGGGTGAAAAGAAAGATTAGTTTTATCCACCTTACTTTTCTTTTTATTTCCATTTGCAATTTCTACAAAGCTCAAAGAACAAAAGGTGGATTTTTTTTCCTCGAAAAAGAGTAAACAATTCCAACTTCTGTGGATTTTAGACATTTTTGTTACACGAGAATAAGAATAACACTATGTTCTTTTAGCTATTGTGTAGTACAGTCCAGTACCAAATAAGAGTACTAATACTACCACTACTACTCAATCTATAACAAGCTTCAAGTTACTCATAATATTTTTATGGCTACATCCTCAAGGTAATTTGTGCAGGCTGAAGTGTTTTGAATAGCATGCAGAGGAAGCTGGTAGTGTCCAAGTAAAATGGATCCGAAGGAGAACTTAAGGTCACATCAAAGAAAAGAACAGAACTTGTAAATGTAATATTCTTCCTTGAAAGCATCTCAAGAAGCATTAGGCGAGCAGGAAGGAGAGAAGGAAAACAGGAGTGAGCGCAGATTTGGGCAATGTTCTCCATAATATGAAAAAAAAAAATCAATCATACTGTTCTTTATAATTAGGTTGTTTACTTAGAAATTTGAGCAACCATGATGAACCTGAAGAAATGTACAAATAAAACCACACTGACCTAAGGCTACGTTTATATGATGACGGTCTGAACAGAAGACGCAAAAGTGGTGTTGTGTCTTCACTTTCTGTGTTTAGACGAGCGTTTTCGGGAGGAAATCTGTGTGCATACGCTGACGCAAAAGTGTATGGAATTTGAATGGGTATGCATGCCAGGTTTCTGTGTACTGTATGTATGTGACGTAAACACGTATGCAACATAAGCAGATGTGAACAGAGTTTTGCATCTTGGGCAGTGTAGACGGAAATGCTGCAGCGGAGCGTATTCAGCTTTTCCACTCTGGTCTTGCATTTTTAAGCCCCAAAAATGTCGTCACCGTCTAAACGAAAGGCACTTCTGATAAAATATTTTGTCGTTTTTACCTGCAAGCGTTGTCGTGTAAACAGGCCCTAAAACTTAACATAACTCTAGACAAGCATTTATTTCTTTACAAAAGATTTAACAGCTCAAAAATACCTTGGTAAACATGTATTCTTGCAGTTCTTACATTCTTAAAAGTGCATTGTGTAACTTTTCTGGTGAAGGGTCCGCTGTCTCCTTGTCTCCATGGAGATTAGTTTTGTTGGGAATGTCCCAATGTGGCATTAAACATCTCCATATTCCATTTACTCAATAATATGTGTTATTTATTGACCTAAAAACTTGTATTCTTACTGTGAGTGGGCTCGCTTCTCCACAGATCTGACATGTAACTTGGCGCTGTGGTGTCACCTGCTGTCTCTGTGTCGATAAATAAGTGTAAAGCCATACTATGGAACATTCCAGGCAATATCTACACGGAGAGAAGCAGGTGACGGACCCTCCACAAGAAATAGTATATGACACAGTGTCCCTTTAAGACCTAACTACCTGCTTGTCTCCATGGAGATAGCTATACGTTTGATGCCATACTGTGGAACATTCTAGTTAAAGCAATATTTACATCAAGACAAGCAGCTGGCATACCCTCCACCAGAAAACTTTTGTACACTCCAAATAAAAAAATGTAAAAACAAGAATCTAATATATGTAATAATATTCTTTTTCAGTTTTGCTTTCTTACTACTCTCAAAAGGTCAAAGCATGGTACGATTATTTCTATAAACAGAACAGAAAAATCAAATACAATAACATTTGGCTGCCTTGCATATTGTTAGTATTCTGTTTTTGTTTTTTTACTATAAGAATAATATTGATGTCTTAAAGAAATAAAGTAATAAAGTAGCTCACCTCGTGCACGTACACTGACGAAGGTGAACCCGGAGTTGTTGGTGGCCAGGCGGTACCATGCATTACGGGGGTTAAGTAGCCACTCCTCCACGTGACAGTAGTACCTCCCCGCATCACTAGGGCGCGCCGCTTGGATGGTGAGGCTGTACTGGTCCGACGTCTGCCTCTCAAACTGCAGCCGCGAGTTGGGCCCGCTCTCGTCTCTGGGGTTACAGTTCCCGTTCCCGAACACAGCGTCGTGCCCGATGGAGAAGACGCACTCCCTCTGTCTTCCTTCCTCTCCGGGCTGGGCGTCGTCGTATTCGTTGTCCGAGCGCTCCACGTACCAGGACACGGAGAAGCGGGAGTCTCTGGAGGACTGTGAGGGGATGCTGCAGCCCAGGCGGATGGAGCCGGACTCAGGGACGGTGATGTTCGACTCCTGCTCCTCAACCTGGAGGCGGATCTCTGCAGGAAAAGAATGATTGAGGTTAGAAGAATATCAGCTAATCAAATATCTGCTTTCTTGATCAATATAATGTGATTTGAAATTTTAAATAGTGCTAAATCTGATATGAATCTGCAATTGTAAATATGTTCTTATATTAGACTTGTAGCAGACCCCCAAATTTCTGTTGACAGGCCACACATTTTTGGAGACATTTATGGAATATTTTGAGATATGTGGATCTTAAGTAAAAAGTACAGATACTGGATCAAAAAATACTCAAGTAAAAGTAAGTAAGTATTGCATGAAAGTAAAAGTATATAAAAAAAGTACTAAAGTACCAAATAAAAATAAAAAATAAATAAAATAAACTACTACTACTACTACTACTACTACTACTACTACTACTACTACTACTACTACTACTACTACTACTACTACTACTACTACTACTACCAATGTACTTAAAGAGAATATTGGGCAAGTTCTAAAAGATGGAATAAACCTTCAAATATAATGATTCTGATACAGATTTGTGCAGAAGATTTGTACAGTACAGTTGTTCAACAGAAACAACTGAACCAATCGTTTTTGTTTTTTTTAGCTGCTTTCATATTTTTGCTCAAACTATGGAGGTGTTAAAAGTAAGCCCTCAGTCTTTTCAGCGGGTCTCAGACAATAATAAAATACACTTGTACTTTTCAGTCTTGTTCAAAAATGTAGTGAAGTAAAAAGTACAGATATCTGCTCTCAAATGTAATGAAGTAAAAGCAAAAAGTATCCTCTTTAAGATTTAGTTAAGTACAGATACCTAAAAATGTATACTTAGGTATAGAACTTAACTACTTTTATTTCGTTGCGTCCCACCTCTGGCTGTAGGGTTGGGGAATGCCACATTGAACAGTAAATGTCCTCCTTTATATAATCTCACTATACAATACACCCCAAAAGTTTAGACTGAGGTTACTCAATTACTGGACTAACCCCGAGGTATTACATTTCCTATAATGAAAACATAACATCCAACATCAAAAACACTACTTACTGACAAACAAGATAAAAAGATGTCCACTGACTGGCAAGAGTTATTGATTCCAGACCAGCACACTCTGATTTAAGGCTTCATCAGAGCCTGTGATCAATACAGCCAGAACCTCCAATTAATGACCAGAGCCCATCAAAGCGCTTTGGACATCCTCTTGTCAATTTCTATTAAGTCTTGTTCAAGTTCTTCACAACATAGATCATACACACCTAAAGGTCCTATATTACACAGTATTGACTCTTGGGAGCTTTAAGCCGTTTTATAATGTTGCTACCTCATAAAAAACATATCTGAAGTTGTGCTTTGATTCACTCACATGTTTCAGTAATCCTTTATTATTAGTTTGTCTACAGCTCAAAATGCTCTGTTCCACCTTGTGATGTCATGAAGCTGTAGATTTCAAGTTAACAGCTCCTTTTACCCTTTGTTCAGTAGATTGGTAAACCCAGAGCTGAAATTATCCATATGATTCTAAGGAAGGTGTATGGCAGGGGTCATCAAACTAAGGCCCGTGGGCTGACTCTGACCCTTCATGCTCCTTTGACCGCCCCCCCAGCCCCTCTGCCCCCGCCCACTTGAACTGGCCCTATGAGGCAATCCTCAAAAGTTGTCATGACCTATTTTTTTATTACTTTTTGGTAAATAATAACACATCTGCATCTTGTATTTGTTGTTTTTTTTCAATTTAAAACTGATTGATATGAAGTATTTTAGTTATTTAAATTATTATATGATGCATTTACATTTACCGCCAAATTTTTGTCACCTGACAAGCTTGAGATCAAACAGTGAGAGTGAATGCACACACAGAGTTCTGTAATGTAGTTAAGGACAGCAAAACGGCTTGTGTTAAAGTACGAAAAGTTGACAGAGAGTGCTGAGTTTTCAAAGAACAGTGGACGGCTGACTATTTTTTATTCAGTGTAAGGACAGTGCAGTTTGTCTGATATGTAAAGAAAGTGTGTTGGTTTTCAAAAAATATAATCTGCGTCGTCAGTGTCACATGTTATATGGCCGACCCGACGCCGGCCCCCATCAGAGTCAGGAGCGATAATGTGGCCCCCAGAGAAAAAAAGTTTGGTGACCCCAGGTGTATGGAGTTTAAAAACACAGTGGAGCACTTCCTGTATTACCACAAGACATCAAAAGGTGGAATAGAGTATTTTCTGTTTGAGAGAGAGGAACTAAATATGGAGGATTTGGGTGTTAAACATGAATGAAACAAAACGCAACTCCAGGTATGTTTTTGATGAGGAAACAAGATCAGATAATAGCGTAATATAGGCCCTTTAAATACATACAATGCATAAAATCCTTCAAAACTAAACAAAACCGCACTGTACAAAAAGTATAATATTTTGATTTAATTCCAGATGCAGATGTGTTTTTAGTGTTCCCCAACTGAAATTTTAAATCCATTTAACTTCTCCACGAAAGTTTTTGATACGCGCCTGTATTGTGTAAGCCAAATCCCCTTCTTATGCAAATCTCCACTGTCCTTACAAAGTTAAAACACAAATTGAATAAGCCTGAGTACATTATCCAGCTATACAAACAGTCCAGGAAACTTTAAACTGAGTAAACTACTTTAATTGGATCTGCTGGTGGTGCCCATGGCTATCAGCAGAGTTCCAGTGAGGTCAGCCTGCACCTTGGGCCCCTGTCTATGTCCATACTCTCCCCCGCTTCAGCCTTTAAGAAAACCACTACAATGACCTATTTCTTTGGTGGAGTTACGCCTGCTCTCCTATCTCTCTTACACACCACCATATGTGTTTTTTTTGTTTTGTTTTTTTTGGAACCGTTTTCTTGTTAGGGGTAAAATGAGAAGTGGAGCGGACAGCAGGAGAGCGTGAAAGGAGGTAGGTTCTGGCAAGCATCACCTCTTGTCTTTTCACCCAACAAGCAGATTTCTGGCCGGCTTCCTGGGTGCCTCCGAACAAGTGAATTTTTAGCACCTTTCTGAATACCTGGGGTGATTACACAGTGCATAGCCTTCACTTATTACCATAGCATTAAAGTGATTATATACATGCACCGAGGATCAAGTGCCTGCTGTTTTAAAACTTCCTATAGTTAGAGAACAGAACCCCCACTGCTTAATATTATCCTATGGCTACCATACATCCGCTATAAAACCTAAGTACCCCATAACTTGGCTGCCTTGTTGTAGCAGATTTGGGGATTCTTTAGTGCAGGGGAAAAGCCAATAAAAGTACTGTTCATTTAAAGATCCTATATTATGCAAATTTGACTCCTGTGAGCATGTTAAAATGTTGTTACCTAATCAAAAACACACCCGGAGTTGTGTTTTGTTTCAGTCACACACGTTTGAGTAACTCTGCAATGCTCTGTTCCACCATGTGATGTCATGTAGTGGTGTTTTTCCAACTTAACATCTACCTTTTTACCTTTAGTTCAGTAGAGATTGGTAACTCCAGGGCTGAAATTATCCAAATTATTCTAGTGAAGGTGTGTGAAGTTTACAGTGTATTCTGTTTGAGAGAAGAACTAGAGCGTAAATATGCAGGATTTGTGTATTAAATATGATTAAAAGAAACAAAAAACTACTTTGGGTTTGTATTTGATGAGGAAACAACATTATAACATAAGATATACAAATGTATGAGCCACTAAAACCTGCGCAGACCTTTAGAGATGCAGTCTATGGTGCATTTAAATGACTGGCTTCATTGGTAAAACAGAGCAAACACACTATTTATTGCAATAATATTAAGTAAGGAGGAAGGTCAGAGGGACTGAAACGTTGTGCTAATACAAATAGATGAAGAGTGAGGCTATGGCTGTGGTTACATACATATTCAAAATCAGCTAAATGAGCTAAAATTTGTCAAAATGAACGTAAACTGCAAACTCATCTGTATTCTTTCAGAGCATGGTCCCTCAGGTCACTCACATCAGATTGTGCACTTGTCCTTTAAATCAGTGTTTCCCAAACTTTTTTCTGGGGACCCATATTTTAAAAGTCACAAATCTCCGCAACCCAAGGCAATAGACATTATTTGTAAATCACAAGGTAAAGGTGGATGTGACCATTATTGAACATTAATGAGGATATTTTATTGAGTGATCGTGTCTCTGAACAATTAGTATTACTCAAGTTTAAAACAATGAAAAACAGTAATTGAACCAGCAATAAAAGTATCCATAAGTCATCTATTTGGACATTAAATGTAGCCCATTTCTTTTTCTTTTCAACATTCAATTGAACCAGCAATATTGGAACAAAATAGCCAATAAAATAAGTACAAAAAGATTATACAAAACATGTCTTAACATTTCAACATTTTTAATGAGTTGGGTCTGTCTGCGTTTTTGTAGCGTGTTCCAGTCTGGCGTGCAGGAGGAGAACACAACACGCATATCAGTGTCAGAACTGTATACTGCAGACCTACAAGCAAGGCGACCCCAAAAAAAAAAAAAAAAAATCTCTTGCGACCCACCTGAGGGTCCCGACCCAATCTTTGGGAAACAATGCTTTAAAGGGCCCATATTACACTATTTTCTGATCAATGTTATAATGTTGTTTCCTCATCACAAACATATCTGGAGTTGTGTTTTGTTTCATTCACAAATAAATCCCAATTATTTGAGCTGACTTCTTCTCTCAAACAGAAAACACTCTGTTCCACATTGTGACATCATGTGGTAATACAAGAAGTGCTCCACTGTGTTTTTAAATCTTTACACCTTCACTAGAATCATTTGTATACTTTCAGCCCCAGAACTGCCCAATCTCTACTGAATTTAAGGCAAAACGTAGCTATTAACCCCAAAACTACCACTATATGACATCACAAGGTGGAACAAAGCATTTGAGCTTTGGGGATGTAGACAGACTAATAAACCAGGATTACTCAAACATGGGTAAATGAAACACAACTCTGGGTATGTTTTGTGAGGAGGTAACAACATTCTAACATGACTTAAAGCTCATAAGAGTCAATTTTGCTTAATATAGGACCTTTAAGTAATTTTAAAGGTCTAGAAATCAGATATTAATCAGATTTTCGTGAGCTTGTAACCGCAGGAGTCTCCTTACTAAATTTTCAGCTAAACCTCTCCTCCTTTAGCAACTGTGTCCAGCTGTCAGGTGTGCATAGTCCACACAGAAACAAAGAATAGTAAATCGTAATCTCTAATATTATATATAATGTAAATAATACGAAGTGACATTTTAGGATATCCCCCCACTAAGGAACATATGCTCAGACAAGATGGCAGCCTGACCCACCACTGTTCTTTGTCCTACTTGGATCTTCTTAATCCTTCTTCAGACCAGATTGAGTCCTACATTTGTTTTGATTAGAGGTAAACATGTTCAAATCTAATATTGATATTGAATATTTACTGAGAAATATTGTGAAATTATAAAGACACACTGTGATCTTTGCTGGAAAGTAATTGACTACAAGTACCAAAAATACGTATATATGAACATTAATTCTGAATTACTGTATTCTTGTACATTTACTTCATTCATTAGTTCATTTGGTGGTATTCAGAATAAAGTTACTTTTCTAAATTAAAAGGAATACATGGTGCTAATTGCATGGTGCACGCAATTTGGGCTTTGGACTGCTCCGTAACATGTCTGAATTTTCTGCAAAAAAAAAAAAAAGTTACTGCAAAACAAAAATATATATCCTGTTTTTAGGCTATATTTTAAATGCAACTTGATGTAAAAGTATTCAGATTATATGACAGAATACGTCACAAAATGCATTTTAATTTTGGTAATGAGTATTCTGTAACTAAATACATTTTCAAAGTATTTTCAAAGTATGTCACAGACGATGGCCAATGTTGTGATATTCTGTTTTTAATTCTCAAGAGGATTAACAGAAAGCAGAATTAGCTCATTACTCTGGGTTGCCAATTCTTCAAACTAAAATCAGTTGAAAATAAAGCTAAAAGGCCTCTCTCTAATCTCAATACTCAATCTCAATACTCAGCACCTGCAACAAATCATTCATCAGGACTAATGCAGCCTCCAGCAGAGAGAGAGAGAGTGTGTGTGTGTATGTGTGTGTATGCGTGTGTGTGTGATTTTTTAAGTGGGGGTATGTGATTCGTGATGACATCGATGTGATGACGTCCACCTCCACTCCAAAAGCCATATACTCAACTTCCACATGCCGAAATACACACAGGTGTCATATACATTTTTTAAATAAACAAACTTTCAGTACCAACATAAAGGCGTCAAAATGATGGGGAATGTTATTAACATTAACACCGTTCATAATCACCTACAGAACATAAATCATAGGCTACAACATGTGCGCAGGACTGAACCAGGTCTAAACCAGGTCTAAACCAGGTATAAGCATGGTATAAACCAGAACTAAACCAGGACTGAACCAGTTCTAAATCAGGACTAAACCAGAACTGAACCGGGACTGAACCAGGTATAAACCAGGACTAAAGCAGGACTAAAGCAGGACTAAAGCAGGACTAGCAGCAGGACTAGAGCAGGACTACACCAAGGCTACACCAGGACTAATCTTAGACTTTAGAGTGAAAGAGAGAACCCTGAGACCATAGAGCAGGGTGTCCGCAAAGTGGGATCGGACGATGGCTGTTTTTAGCCTCGTGGGGTGCGGAGCTCTGTGGCGGTCCTTTCTCACGTGGTCACCCGACGGTCTGCGCGGACACACCTCCAGACACTCAGTCCTGGTTCAGTCCTGGTTCAGTCTGGTTCAGTTCTGGTTCAGTTCTTTTTCAGTTCTCGTTTAGTTCAGTTCTCTGGTTCAGTCCTGTTCAGTTTGGTTCAGTTCTGGTTCAGTCCTGGTTCAGTCCTGGTTCAGTCCTGGTTCAGTTCTGGTTCAGTTCTTTTTCAGTTCTCATTTAGTCCTCCTGGTTCAGTCCTGGTTCAGTCCTGGTTCAGTCCTGGTTCAGTCCTGGTTCAGTCCTGGTTCAGTCCTGGTTCAGTCCTGGTTCAGTCCTGGTTCAGTCCTGGTCTCCTCATGTGTCAGGTCACTATAGGACAGTAGTGCACATATCATGAGTCTGTGCAGTTTGTTTTCACCATTGCCAGTAGCTCCGATTTGACATTTAAGTTGTAGGTCATTTTTTATCTGTTATTTTTTAATATCTCACATCAGGAGAAGTGGGTGGACGGCGTACCCCCACGTACCACGCCCACTACACCCCTTGGTAAGTGTGTGTCCGTGTGTGTGTGTGTGTGTGTGTGTGTGTGTGTGTGCCTCAGCAGTGTATGGCTTTCAAATGAGGCATCTTCTGTCCAGAATAAACTGATTGTAGTTCAGTGGTGGATTTTGTTGTTGTAAATGTACAGATACGGGAGCAGAAGAAATATTTGTGTAAAAGTTTTTTTTGTTTTTTTTTACTTAAATCCAGTACTTTATTACTTTTACTTCATTACCTTCCTTCTCCATGGTCTTATCCCAGCCCCATTTTAACACAATCTGACCATAAAGAAATGATTTAGCTGGAACTACAACAGGTGAGATGATTCATGCTGTCAAACAAGCCTCACACACATAAAATTTGTCACAATCCAGGTAGCATTAGCCAACAGTTTTTCAGTTACTCACACTCACCATTTTGTAGAAAATCAAACACTTAAACAGGACCATGAACGCTCGTATTGATCACAGGCTCCTGAAAACGTGTTGTTTAAATCAATTTTGTGTTCTTTCTTGACTTTTCCAACAATGTTTGCCAATGTGTGACTCGTGTCACCATGGTAACTGCTAAACATTACATAAAATACAGCTACATGTAGAACACCCCCAGTGTGATGTCAGAGTTAGAAATCCCAGCATGCTCACCTGGCTGCCTGACGATGACCTGTGTGAAACCAGACGCCTCCCGTGCCAGTCTGTACCAGGCTCCGTCAGGGTCACTGAGCCACTCCTCCACCAGACAGTAGTACGTCCCCGAGTCGCTGCTCTCTGCTCTGTTCAGGGTGAGGGTGTAGAGACGCGGGGACAGTCTCTCCGCCTGAACCCTCCTCCTCAGCCTCTCTTCGTCCGCATACGCCCCGTACTCAAACGCTCCTGACCGCTCAATCCTCAACAGCAGCTCGTCCGTCTCCGAGCCCGACGCCCGCCTCACGTACCACAGAACGGCATGCTGGGAGTCTGCGCTGGTCTGAGAGGTGATGGAGCAGTTCATTCGCACCCGGCTGTCCTCCAAATACGCCTGGGACTGATTGGTCTTTTGCACGCGGAGTTTGCTCTCTGTGGGGAAGACAAAAAAGACAAAGAAAAAAAAAACAATGTTATTTTGAAGCGGGGAAAGGGAAGGACACAGAGCAATTTGAGTGTTGTGATGCGTGACCTAGCCTGCCAGTTATTTGGACTTTTTGGATTGTTTTTGTGAAAACTCAAACAACACAGCGTAATTGAAGTTTAAATAAATTACTGCAAAGAGGCTGTTCTTTTCCTCCATTTCCTCCATCTTGTCTTTAATAATTCAACAAAAAGCAGATGCTAAATAATGGTTCTACAAGATTTTTATGAGTAAATTGAATGCATCCACTTAAGGACCACTAGTTTTCATAGTCTCCACACACCACTTGTATCATGCATTATAAACCTCTTTTGTAAACGTCTTTTTAAAACTTGCCTATCAAGTTCTGACTGAGGTAAAGTGAAATGGAGCTTGTAGGATGTAGAACAAAAGACAGGCTCTACTATATTTGTGTTTACTTGTAAGTACGCATTTCTTTATAAAAGAAAATCACCATGTAATTATCTATTGTTTGAATTTTCAGAATAGCATTGCAAAAAGATGTAACAGACAACACAAGGGTTCTCTTTTCAGAAAGTATTTTAATAATGATGACTGTCAATTATCTATTTTAGTTCATGTTGAATTAGAATTTACATTTGAGGAATTTTGACTTCAAAAACTCAGTGTTAGTTCAATATTCAGGGAAAGAGTCTGTATAATGGTCTTTAAAGGGGCATTGTGTAACTTTTCTGGTGGCAGGTATGTCAACTGCTTTTCTTCATGGAGATGTTATTGCTTAACCTGATTCATCAGCCAGTTTCATTTCGTGGAAACCGTCTGACCTCGCAGCATTAGAATTCATTTGCTCGACAATAGGCTGGTACTTTTTTAAATTTAACCAATCGCTGTTATTTGGTCATGACGTATGTAATGCGCCACTAAAAGGGCTAACTGGTATATTAAGCTTTTCCCAAATCCCGTAGGAAGAAGGGCAATAACGTCTTTCCCCTTGATAAAATTCACCAAACATTCTTTTTGTTCCGACTTTAAATCCTCGATCTCAGGAATCACTGACAACACAGAATGTATGGCTCTTTGCTGATTGGCTGGTGCCTGGACTCCCACTTCCGGGATTCTTGCAAACTGTCTAGTGTGTTCTGATTCCTGACCTAGTCGCTGAAGAGAAATGGCTGGCTAGTTATTGCTTGCCCTATCCAGAAAGTTACAGAGTGCACCTTTAAATGTGTATGATCCTCTAATTTTTAATTTTAATCTGGTGGAATTATCACTATTGTAGATATAAATTATAGTTTAAAACCTCTATCTAGAAGCAATTTGAGAAGAAAAGTTGAAAAATATGTTGTAAATTTCAGAAAGAGAGACACACTGATGACATCACATTAGGGGGAATTATATCCAAAAGTTAAGCATAAGAAACATTTTTTCTGATACTTGTAATTGAACAAAATAAAACAGTATACTTATATTTGTATATTTGTATAAGCGTATATTTTGTAATAAAATTTTAAAACTAAAAAGCTCTCCAAATTGAGAAAACACATGTGAATGTTTTTTGCAAAAATCTTAAATATAATGTTCCTAACTGTGTTTCAGTAAAATGAGTAGTCAGACCTGTCATGTGCACTTCAATCTAACACAGTACATTTCAGTGTGTATGAGAGCTTTGTCCTGAGGCTATAATCAGACCCATAGAACATACATTATATGATTATGCACTTCACAATTACATGAGTGCCATAACGAACATAATATGTCTCTAAGCAAATTATATGTAATACAGTACAGCATTGTGTCTAAATTGTTGTCACTCTCCCAAGATCAAACCAGAACCTAAATGACTATCATCTAAAATAGTCTGGCCTGCATATGATTCATACCTGGAATTATTTTGTTTCATGCGCACATGTTTAACACACAAACCCTGCATATTTAGCCTTTATTCTTCTCTCAAACAGAAAACACTCTGTTCAACTTTGTGAAGTCATGTAGATTACAGGAAGTGCTCCATTGTGTTTTTAAAATCCATACACCTTCACTAGAAATATTTTGATGATTTCAGCCTTGGAATTGCCAATTTCTACTTAAGTAAAAGTAAAAAGTAGTTGTTAAACTGAAAACTACCACTTCATGACATCACAAGGTGGAAAGAGCATATTAAGATTTGGAGATGTATACAGAATAATGATAAAGGGTTACCGAAACGTGTGAATGAAACAAAACACTGCTGCAGATACTATGTTTCTGATGAGGTAACAGCAGTCTAACATGGCATAAAGCTCTCAAGAGTCACTTTTGCGTAATATAAGACCTTTAACTTGGATAAAAACACAATTTGACCATTTTCGCTCTAAGGCCTAATTAACCAAGTGCCCATAATCCACCAAATTGCCATGGTGACCGGGATACAAATTCACTCAACTCTAAATTTGTAGTTTTGAAAGGTAGCAAACGAGGGAACAGAAATGTCAGCGGGATCATGAGGACGTGACATGTATCTCAAGGTAAAAACACCAGATTAGCGGCTCCACAGCTGCCTGGAGAGAGGAGGGAGAGGAAGAGCGCGATGTTGTTAGCGAAGATTCACCTCGGCGGGCCCTGTCACCGAGAATGAAGACACAAACTCTGTCTATAAAGCTGTTGGGAGACATGGGCAGGAGCAAATGGCACAACGTTACCGAGGTGGGACGGAGGTGTCAGCACGGCGGTCCTGAGAGCTGTGACGGGATTGGTTACGGAGACACCGGTATGGCATGATAGGATTAGCGGCAGGTACATCAGGTGTGACCGTGACCACACTTGCCCCCCCTCCCCCTCCCCATTCTGTCAAACGCTCAGGGGAAGGATTATTCTAACAACATCATGTGGGGAAAATCCGAAATACACAAGCGCACATACGGAAGAACTGGAAGGTAATGTAATGTTGAGAGGTAATGGGAATATGTCAAGTCATAGCCAGCAAGATTTGACATCATGTGACAGAAATTAAGGAAAAAAATGGAATTACTCAAGGCGGGTATGAATAATTAAGGTTTCATTCAGCTAAGTAGAGCACAGTGAGGAGTGAAGTCTCAACATATCAAGTCATAGGAACAAAAGTGGATTCTTCTTTCCTTGCAGTTTTTGGATTTTGGTTTATGGTAGATTCTCGACAATGCATAGATGTAGGTTTGGGATGGGCTCTAGGGTTGAGCGGTAATACAGTATTACGGTATCCCGCGGTATCAAAAAGTAGCAACAGTATCAGTTTTATTACAGTCATTAAAAAAATCAGCAGCACATAAGAACCTAATATAATGTTTGCTCAGCACTAATGAATATGTGGTTGTATGTTCAATTAAATGCTATCACGATTTAAAACTAATAGTGTCTATAATGTTCGATTAGTTTCGTTCCGTTGTCACGTGACGGTCATAAGGGAGACCAAGACAAGACGGCAAGTCTGGCCGCAAGCGAGTTGGTCCCTCCCCCCCAAAAAAAACAATACTAGTACTTCTACAATTTGGCAGCATTTTGGCTTCAGGTGCACATTTGTTTATGTTTTACAGAAATTAAACTTAAAACCACATGGCTCATCATTTGTGTAAACTATAAAGCGCTAATAAAAGCAGCTCGCTCCTTGTGCGCTGATGCCGTTCAGCTTCTGTCGGACTAAAGGACACGACTCAGTGGAATGTGAGTGTTCTTTCTGCAGCAGAGGATGTGCGGCTGATGGTGAGTCTGTGCTTCTATTGCATTGGAGATGGATCATGTGAAACTTTTCAGAGATTATAAGTCTGCAGTCTATATACACATAGACCATATAGCGATGCGACTTCGTATCTTACTAAAATCGTACTAAAACATTTTGGTAATACTGTAATACCGTATATCCCGGTAAGAAGGTTTAACTGTATCAAAATTTGGATACCGCCCAACCCTAATGGGCTCACAGATATTAACATTAGAAACACTTGGACTACATTTTACAATAATACAAAATTGTCCCATGTAAACAATAACGAACTTTTTACCTTTATGTTATATTTCCCATAGATTTGTTAAGACTATAGTTGCACAAATGATTTTTATTTGAAAAATGTAATCTCATTTTATTATTGCCTAAATTTTTAAGCACCAGTTTTGACCAGGGTCTTCTCTTTAAATGTTTATGAATAATACAATGAGAACAAAGTCTAATTCTGCTATGCCAAAACAGTCCAATTTAGAGAGTTTTAAACATTGGGGAGCCTTAACTAACCAAGTGCTTGAGATCTTTTTGAATGCTTTTTAAAATTTTGTCATAGTAAGTATTTATATGAGCATTTTCACAGTTTACTAGCATGTGAGTGGTGTCCTTGAGGAACACCTGTTAGTATTTTTCACTATGAGAACCCTCTGAATCGCTCACTTTTCCGGTGTTTTAAATACAAATTTGACTTTAATTTGCAAAGCACATCTAACTCCACATACCGTGAAGGCAGAAATACTTAGACCAGATGCCCTACCTGGCACCTGTATCTTGGAAATGTCCCAAAATAGACCTGAATTCATCTAGCTCTTCAAAATGGAGATAGGAAGTGCAAAATTTACAAATCCCTGAAATTAGCATAATCATTTTATCTTGGCAAATTGTGAAATCTTTCTTCGCCTTGTTCTCAGTGCAGCAACCTGGCAATTTTCCTTCAACAAAAGTAACAGCCTGATTACAACACGAAAAATCGACTCTAAATGAGGAAATGCAAGGCAATTTCTGCTTAAGGAATAACTTTTCTAAAATTGAATTTCACTTGCACTGGTTGCTGCTGCCACTGAAATTTCTGCCTCTTATTTGCCTTGGAACTGGTTGCCTAGGGTCTCCCCATTGGCCCCCTCCCCACACTCCACACACCAGTGAACACACCAAACTCACCGCTGTAATTCTGTGTTACAAATTCGGTTATATCCAAGCTAGCCTTCAAAATTAGCCTCATCCATTGCCACTAGAGACTTGGTAGGAAGCCTCAGA